CTAGCCTCCTCCGGCGCCCTAACTTGCCTGCCCACTAGCCTCCGCTGGCGCGCTAACATGCCTGCCCGCTAGCCTCCACCGGCGCACTAACTTGCCTGTCCGCTACCCTCCTCCGGCGCACTAACTTGCCTGCCCACTAACCTCCTCTGTCGCACTAATATGGCCTGCGTGCTAACCTCCACCGACGCGCTAACTTGGCCTGCCCACTAGCCTCCTTCTGGTGCACTAACTTCTACTGCCCGCTAGCCTTCTGTGGCGCGCTAACTTGTCTGCCCGCTAACCTCCTCCGGCACGCTAGCTTACCTGCCCGCTAGCCTTCGCCGGCACGCTACCTTAGTTTACCCTCTAGCCTCCTCCAGCTGTAATGTTCTCTCGGACGTCGCAGGTGTTCCCTTTCCTTCTTGGGTGCCCTCTATTTATCTTCCACACGTTCACTCCCTGTCTTCCCCCGGTTCTGTCTTTCTTCCCCCGGCGCACTCCCTCAGACCTCTGCAGGTGCTTCCCATCCTCCCCCATCACCCTCCATCCAGCCTCCTTGGCACACTGCCTCCAGCCTCCACAGTTGCTTCCTCTGTCCTCCCCTGATGCTAACCGTATTCTCCCGGCGCACTCCCTTGGACCTCCGCAGGTGCACCCCATCCTCCCCCAGGCTAACTCTCTCCATCCTCCCCCAGCATGTTAGCTTGGATCTCCACCGGCACTCACTCCAGCCTTCCCCAGCACGCTCCCTCAGATTGCTGTAGGCGCTCTCCATCCTCCCCCTTCGTTCTCCATCTGGCCTCCACCAGCAAGCTCCCTACGGCCTCCACAGATTCACTCTTTGTCCTCCCCCGGCGCTCTCCCTCAGACCTCTGCAGGTGCTCTGCTCTCCCTATCCTCACCAGGCACGCACGCTCCTTCCAGCCTCCCCCGGTGCACTCCCTCAGACTTCTGCAGCCATTCCCCCTCCTCCTCCAGCATGATCCCCCGGTGCTCTGCAGGTGCTCCCCATCATCCCCCTGCGCGCTCCCTCAGGCCTCCACAGGTGCTACCTCTGTCCTCCCACCATGTGCTCCCTTGGACCCCTGCAGATGCTCCCTATTCTCCCCCGGCACACTCCTTCTGGCCTCCCCCAGTGCTCCCCATTCAGCCACCACTGGCGCACTACCTCAGACCTCTGCCGGCACACTACATCTGTCCTCCAGTGGCACGCTACATCTGTCCTCCAGTGGCACGCT